ATGCACAATAAAATCTCACCTCATATTTTTCATTTATATCAAATACCTGCTGATGCGATCGTGACACCGATAAATGTGTCCTTCTGATGGTTTAAAAAATCATTTCCGTGCTTTATTTGTAAGTATTAATATTCAAGGTGCTTTGTATGTAATTAATCTTAATATTTTATATGTAATATAATTATTTAAATTTAGTCGTTAAACATATGTATTCATGAGAATTGTGCCATTATGTAAAATATAAAATTTATGAGCTGTGGGTAACAAATAATGCACTGCCCATAATTAGAAAGTCTATTGTATTGATGTAATGCAATAAAAATAAATTGTGGGAGATGACTTTTATGCTACGAATAAAAAGAGTTTTGGAGCGTTGGATATAAAATCAATAAATAATGGATGGGCTACTTGATCATTCACTTTATCGAGGGAGATACCAATGTCCAAAATTATGAGCATCATTTTTGGTAAATATGGAAATTATTGACATTGGCATCGATCCAGACCTCAACCTTATTGCAATAACAAATAATGATGTCTACTCAAATGCATAAGAGAAACAAGTGCGTTGAATCCTAAATTGTATTTCGTGAACACACCTAGAGAGTTAGAGTCGGATGAATGAGGAAAGAGAAAGTTGGGAATAAGTCTAGAGCTCATTGCAAAGAGAAGGGGGAGGGGTCCACTTATTTGTCTTTTCGTCTCGTATTTATAGAGGCATATTTATACAATAACAGAGAGGAAATAATTATGAAAATTGTTCTTAATATAATTGATACTCTAATTAATCATAAAGATATATATCATATGTGTATTACAATTTGAATTATAATATAACGGTAATGGGTTGGTCGACCTGTTTGAATTCTGTTGGTTGAGGTGACTGGTTGAATGGCGATCGCGCCTTTCAAAATAGTTGTTGGTCGGCTTAGGGGTCTAGTCGAATGACGATCTCGCCCGCCGCAGTAAAAGAGGGTCAGCCGACCAGCTTGCGATCAAAGGATTTTGCATGCATCTCAGTCAGCCGGGATTGTGGGAGGGGTCCGCAGATTGAATCTCTCGCAGTAGTGTGTCGGTCAAATTTGATCACACTGTCGCTTGTTTGATGGTAGATGTCTTGGTTGTCTGACCACCATTAGGGTCGTTCGACTCCTTTAAGATTCATGCTGACAGTTTTTGTGTATGCATAATAGTACCTCAAATTTTCATGTTATTTGAAAGTAACAGCTATGATAAAGACAAAGAAATTATTAGCATTCATTGGTTCTAGATTCAAAAACATCAACTCAATAATTAACTCTCCTTGGATTTTGTGCATGAATTGCTCTATAAATAGAGTTATAGGTTAGAAATTGCTTGTGTTGTTGTTATTCACTCTTGGATAATTGAGTTGCATCAAGGCTGACTGTTCGTATCAAACCGTCTTAGACCCCAAAATTCTAGCAAAGATAGGCTTTGAACCCTTGGTTTCTTAAAAAAAAAAAAACCTAGGTTGGTTGATCAAGTCGGCTCATATGGGGGTCCAGAGGGCTGAGCATAGAGAGTCCTTCGCTAGGAGATCGTGGCCCCTGAGCCCGATGCAGGTGTGAGCTTGGAGGACCGGCAAACCCTGCTTGTTGAAGACACTGAGAAGGGTGGAAAGAGTTCGGAGGGAGCGAGGACCGATATCTTTTCTAAGTCATTTCAGTAAGAATGTGGAGGTGCTTTCGTACGAGGAGAGGAGAAGCCTTTCCACACCATTTCCTCGATAGATAGGTTTATGGGTACGTTAAAAAAGGCTTTTCGGGGATGGTCTTGCCTCAGACGAGAAACGGAGTCAAATATAAATGAGAATCTTTGTTGAAAGATTCAACACCAATGAAATTCATAAGAGATATAGTACGTCAAGATATATAGGAAGAGATTGAGTCGCTGTGAACATGAATAATGCATGAATAATGAACCATTTTGACGATCTTCGGACAGTCATCATCTTGAACGCCCAAACACTCCCCATGGAGGGAGAGTCTCATGGAACCCAGCCCTAAAGAGCCCCCCTTGACAATCCACCATCACCTCGTGGTTGTCTTGCTGACCGGTGAATGGAGGGACCAAGAGATTACCGCGCAGCTGACAGCGTCGTATCTACGTCGTTAGTCAAATCAGGTAGACCAAGTAGAAGCACTCGCTTAGCCAGTCATGAGCAGCGCCTTCTCCCAAAATTTTTTAGAAACAGTACCCCTGTCAAAGCTCATGATTCCTTACTTTGATCCCTATAAGGGGACAAGCGACTCAGCCTGCCACCTCGCACTTTTGAGTCGACAGTTGGAGTCTTATAGATCGATGACGTCTTAAAGTGTCAATTTTTCCTGACTATACTGAAAGAAGCCACGCTCTGATGGTTTAATAGTCAATCGGATAGAGTCATCCCATTATTCTTCAAATTTTGGATGCTCCTCCTGGCACACTTTACGTACGTATAGAAGCCAAGGAAGGACACAGAGGCCCTGCTTCAGATCAGGCGAGGTGAGGGAAAAAGCCTAGGAGCTTGCATCACCCACTTCTAAAACAAAATGTTAGAGGCAAAGAACTTGGAGCCTCTCATCGCCTGAACTATGCTAAAATAAGGGATCCACAACAAGCAATTCAAGTATGACCTGAACTTACGTAAGCCGAAAACCTTCACTGAGGTCTTTGAATTAGCAGATGATCACATTGTTGCTGAAGATCACTCAGTACCTGAGAGGCGCCCAAATGAGCCCATGCAAACATGCAATCAGTGCAACATGACACAAGACAGAAGAAAACATACAAAAGATGTTAAGTGACAAATATACTAGGCAGTGTGATCGTAAGAGAATCACATATCCAAGTGGAAACACATTGTGCCATGCACAAGTTCAGTGGCAAAAGAGCATGACTTGTACTAAGCACAGTGTGAGATATATGTGACATTGCTAGGCGATGTCGATGGGAATGAAGTAGCACAACTCTAATGGAAGAGAAATGTGCGAAGGATGGCCTTGTATGACGATCATCCCCTCACGAAGGGCGCAAACATCTATCCCCACACATACAGTGAAGTGTGTGGGAAAGATACTTGTAGGTGCAGGTGCTCAAAGAGAGACCTCAAGTGAGAATGCTAAAGAGACAACCAAATATGTGAAATGCTAAGTAGGATACAAGCCAAACACAAAATCACATGCAATGAAATGTGTATCGTAGAAAGGAAGTCAAAAATGTTTTTTCATACAATGAAGGAGCATGCAATAAGCAAACACCACACTCAACGTGATGCAAAGATGCACAAATGTATACAAGCAATCACATGAAGCAAAGAGATGTAAAACAAGGCATATAAGCATGCAATAGTAACATGAAGTTGGCCAAAAATGTCTAACCAGATCGCAATGATCAATAGATCGGGTCAGGGCAGCAAGTTAAATCTAAGTGATCATGTGATCGGACCAGAGTGCCGATCAAACCTAAAGTAATTGGTCGATCATGTCGGAGCGACCGATTGAAACCAAGTGATCGGACGATCAGACCAGGGCAGCTGATCGAACCCAAGTGATTGGGTGATTGGAACGGGGTTCCCGATCAAACCCAAGTTAATGGGTGATTGGAATAGGACAGCCGATCAAACACAAGTGAATGGGTGATCGAATCGGGGCAGTCGACCAAACCCAAAGGAAAGGGTGATTAAGTTGTGGCGGCAAATCAAACCCAAAAGATAGGGTGATCAAGTCAGTGAGGCGGATCAAAACCATAGGGATCGGCCGATCGTGTCGGGGCGGCCGATCAAACTAAAGAGGTGATTGATCGATCGAGTTGAGACGACGATTGAGCCAAAAGTGATTGGTTGATCGAGTTGGGAAGACGATTAAACCGAAAGTGAACGCACAATCAACATGCAATATGTAAGATGCTATGAATGAACATGCAAGCAATGTAACCCAAATGCATTTGACAGTACACTGAACTTGTCCTGCCTGCCTCGCATAAGACTAGGGTTAGCCATTGATGGAGATGGGTACCAATGCCATATTGCGTGAGGCAACATGACACTCGCTTTTGTTTTCTCGACATAAAATAGATGGTCTCTCCCAAGGAGGACTCTGTACGGTGGAGAGAATAAATATCAAAGGAGATTTTTCGTTAGCACGACCGGTTGGCTTCAAGTGTCCATCCAAATGAAGCCGTTGAAACAAACGGCGAGATTATTACAATCTCGGCATGTGGGAATTTAGAACTAAGGCTTAGAAGGGAAAATCGTTCGGACTCGCAAAGGGAAAAGTCAACAAAAGGCTCCTTAACCTGATAGTTTTCTCTACGCACAAAACTATAGTCCTTAATCCTCTAACATCCAAAGTTAGGGGCTCTAGGAAAGAAAATGTTGGTTGTTAGTATGCTCATGACAACGATTAAAAAATTGAACCGATAGTAGCTTGATCAACATCATAAGAATTTTCTAATTAAAGTGCGCTATACACAAAAATTATGAAATGAAAAAAACAAGCATCTTATATGATAGTGAGTTAAGAAGCTGATAAGCATTAAACACGTTGACAATACATGGAAAATCGTGTGGCTATAAAGGAAACTGATACTAATAAACATGCAACGTATTCAAACGGCATGACTAACAAAGTTGTGCTTAACAATTTTAAATATTGTTAGATATTTATACATATGTAATTAATTGTAAATAATATTTGATTTATTAAAATTATTAAAAAAAAATTTAGCATTATTACATGTAATTATATTTATTTAAATTTTATAAGACTAATTATTGTTATCTAACCTCATTATGGAGTGTATTCCCCATCATTATACTTTCTTTGTTATCTATTCTCTTGTTTCATATTTGTATATTTGTACCCACATTAGGATTAATGAAAATAAAGCTGTATTTTTTTTTATTTTTTATTTTTTGAAACAATATCATAACCAATGTTGCAAATATTCTCTACTCTTTTTCTCACCAAAGGCCTCATGAATATCTGTGAGAATCTCTTTGCTCGGTTGTTCGAGACTCACCAACCTTGCAACCCCCGGTTCACTCGTCGTACTTCAAGTTTCTCACCTCACTTGTCAATTTAAACTCATAGTGATCGATGCATGCAAAGATCTAAAGAAAATGTTGTTATTGTTCTCATCACCTATGTCTCCCTTTATTTTTTTGCACATTTGAAGCACTTTATAAGTTAATAAAACTAACGTTAGCCATCTTCATGTAGAGTAATTAGATTTTTAGTTCGAATCAGTGAATTTCAAGCTATATCAATCACAATTATCTGCCATAAGGTTGTTTAAAAACATAAGCTTTCTCTATTTTTCATTATTGTCAAAGAGTGGAAATAAGCTATTAAAGTTGAAACTCTGGATTAGGCTATTATTCTGTTCAAAGGCGTTAGTTTTCCAAGTGTAAAATTGTTTTTCTTACTATCTTTTTTATATGTTCCTCTTGTAGATGTTTCAATGAGGCCTTTTGGGAAAGAAAGAAGTTAATGGCTCTATAAACCATGCAAACATATTTATACATATAAAATCCAACAATAATAACAAATTCACTGAATAGTTAGTTGGTCTATTTGAATGAGAAAAGTGTCAAAACAATGACTTGACTATTTATATGGGGTCATTTTAGTACTAGAATTTTTAGAAGTGTCAAATTAGTCTCAAGATTTTTTTAATATGTTCAAATAGTCTCCATTAAATGCTATTTTAATCTATTAAAAGAATTTGAAGACCAAATTAATATTTTTATAGACCCTGGGACAAAAATGAATCCCTACAAAAAAAAGCCATAAGATCATATTAACACTTTTCTCCAATTTCAATTGCCACAAACAAACTAAATCAACTACTAAACGCAGCCACAATGATACTCATCCAGACAAACAAATTAACTCTTCTTTCACAAACATTTAAACAGCACATTTAAATCTCCACTCCCACCCATCACCTCTCTCCTAATATCCTAACAGAGCTAGCTCATCTTGACAACCAACCCCTTTTCACAGCATCAATAAAGTCCTCGCAAGGAGATTATTCCCCCTTATGTTAATCTATACTCTATATACTTCTTTTCACTTCAACATATTCCCTATATAAAAAACCTTATGTAAAAATTAATTATATTCTCATCTAATATATTCTGCTCCCAACTTCTACCTTTGTAAACTCCACAATCTTCCTGCATTCTTCTCATTCAGCAAAGGAATCATCTTTTTTCGCTTCTGCGCAAGAGAATACAACTTAGCAAACACACCAACCATTGGCGCTGTATTATACGTGCATGCTTCTGTCTGCATATAGTTCCCACGTTCGTCCTCAAACTCATCTCCCAACCCCGGCCCCCCTACAATCGCTCCCCAAATCACGTTTGGATTCGGCTTTCGCCGCGAATACCATTCATCATACCCCTGCGTGCACCCAATGAATCCATGACTCTCTTTGTAGGACACAATTGAAGCCCCCCTATGATGAACTCTAGTAGGGTACCTCCGCCCGAAACCAACAAAGTAACTCATGCCATGCGGATTGTCGCCCAGGATGTAGTCGGTTTGTCTCTTTGCAAGTTTTATGAGATCAGCTGCTCTGGTTGTTCCATAGTGGCAGCTAAATTGTTTCTTCGAGGAGGCGGCGAGATAGTCAGAGTATATGGTGAGGAGGAAAGCTGCGGTTGAGACGTACTGCATGTTGTTCCATGGGCGGACAAATAAGAGGCCGCCGGGGGTGCGGAGCACGTTGCTGCCATTGTTATTCTTGTTGAGGCATGAGCAGAGGTAATGCTCTGCTTTCTCTTGGTATTGTTTCAACACTTTTTCATGACTCTCCGGCAATGGCTCTTTCTCCAGTAGTAGTATCTGTAAATATCAATGTTATTCGAGTGAGAATTTGAAAAATGGATGAAAGAGACGGCTTGATTTGTAAATAGTAATGTTTACAAATTGTTTATGTGGAGCAAGATCAAAAGGTGTTATGCAACACCTGTGGAGGAGTTGGTACAAAACTTTCTCTACAATTATGAGACTCAAGTTTAAATTACATCATTACCATTAATCATTAATTTCAAACCTATTTATCATTAATGTTCAACTTCCACCACTACATATATATATATATATATATATATAAAGAAATATGTGCCTGATGGCCCCTTAAGGCCGTTTAACGAGCACATATACAGGACAAATGTCTTCTTCATTTGCCATATATCGAAAAGGTTTGTGAAAGCGACTAGAGGGTTTGGATCCTGCTTTGCGATTAGTGTTCGGTATTTTTGTCTCATTGGCAATTGTTTCGGCTTAACATCTTCAGATGACACGTGTATTAAAGCAGATCCAAGGGCTCTCTGAATGACACGTATATTAACCAGGTAGACAAAACGAGGCTTGTGTCGGCCACCGCGGTAAGGCTAAAGGTTAAAATTGTTTATTCGTTCGTTTTTTAAACGTTGTTTGATTATTTATAATAATAATAATAATAATAATAATAATAATGGAAGATTTGCATACATCCCACTCAGTTCTTATATATTTACAAATCAGGCACTTCTATTTTAATTTTTTACATATATAACACATCACTTATACATGAAAAGGTGTGTTACACTTCTCAAAAGTTAAAATGTTGGTATTTTTCATATGAAAGATTTATATCATTACATGGGGTGTAAATGTAAAAAGTAAAGAATAGCTGTTAGATATGTAAATAAACAGAAATTGGGTGGCATATATGTAAATAATAATTACATAATTGAAGATTATGGTGATAAAGTTATGAGGTAGCTTTTTATAAAGATTGGGGAATATTAGAAAATTGTGGTGCTAACAGGTTGTCAATAGATAACACAAACCTTGTTAGAGAATGAAACTAGGGTTAGCATTTGTCATATGATGATGAAAACTACAGTGATCGGTTATACATCGAAAATACCAGCACGAATCTCAAAGAGAACGAATGACAAAGATGAAAGGGTCTCCTCTCGAGGTAAGCATTCAACCGACGATTCAAGACCATGTATGAAGTCACGTCTCCAAACTCGAAATAGATTACAAATGGACCTCTCCCTCGATTTTCACTATGAAAAATTCAGACTTATTCTACTTTCTTTTCATTCTCTTCTACACTCGGCTCTAACTCATTGTGTGATTCACAAATGACTAATTAAGATTCAACAAAGATGGATCTCAAAATGCTTAAGATATATTTTGAAATAAATTACCTTAGTCCTAAATTTTAATTTTTACATATACTTTGTCTTATCTACATATATATATATATATTTATTTATTTATTTTAATAGTTAATTATAATAGGTGGCATAATCATAAAAGTATAGGTGTTCCATATATAAATTCATAGGAATTCAGTGGCATGCACGTAAATTTTTCAAAATCTTTCTTTATTAAACTCGAACTTTCCCACATTCCTGATCGTACCACGCGCCAGCCGAACTGAACGCATGGGCCACTATAATTAAGCGCTCAACAATATAATGTGTGGTAGAGAATTATATAAGCCGACAATAATATAAAAAAATAAAATCCAACATGAGAATATACTAAAAATAATTAAATAAATAAAAAGAAATAATTATAGAGAGAAAATTACCCTTGCAGCCAAAACCTGAATGCCCGCATACTTTAGATCCCAACTAAACTCCCTGATGGCCCACTCCGTCCCACCGAAATTAACGGCATTAGTGACCGCATAATCCAAATACTCTCTCCTCCCCGTGGCTCTGTGTAGCCACAGAGCCGCCCACAGAAGCTCGTCCATGTAGCCGCTCACCGACCCGTAATAGCTTCTCACCTTCTCCACACTCTTATCATAATTTCCTCTGTGCTTATCTCCAAACTCGAACAGCTGCATTTTAACTATTATATATAACCCTCCAATAAATGCATCCATGTATTCAATATTATTTATCTATTTATTGATTGAGTAAAATGTTAAAATAATCTCCGATTATTTACATGAGGCCGTTTTAGTCTCAAAGGTTAAAAAAAAGTGTCAAAATAATCTCAACTATTTTAAAATTGAACTCTAATAGTCCTTAGTGAGGGCTAAAATTAAAAAAAATCTCAAAATTATTTTGACACTTCTATAAATATATCTATATATCTAATATTATAATTATATATTTACTGGTTGAGTAAAGTACCGGAATAATCCTATTTATATGAGGTATTTTTCGTCCCATAATTTATAGAAATGTCAAAATAATTTCTTATTATGTTAAGAACCAGCAGTAATAGTTTTTAATGAGAACTATTCCAGCGTCAATTTAAATATTTTGCGGACTATTTTGACATATTTATAAACTATGAGATTTAAAATGGCCCTATGTAAATAGATCGGGACTATTCGACAGTTTCATAAACTCTGGAAATAAAAACGATATTGTGTAAATAGCCTGAGACTATTTTGACACTTTACTGTTTATTTATTTATTACCTGTTCTGCATGATGTAAGAGAAGATCAGAGTAATGTGGGTGGGACTTTCTGAAAACGAGGGAGGCGGCGGCCATGGCGGCCGCCGTCTCTCCTGCGAGATCTGAACCGGGTTTATTTGAGTCAATTTTGTAGGCTTGTCTTGGGGTTGTCATGTCCTCGGGCCGTTGCCAGCAGTAGTGGTCAGTGTCACCATCACCCACCTAAATCAACAATGTATAGAAATATTGAGCAAATTAAAAGACTTTAAAGCTTTGTACTTTGATTCAAAACTGGTTGGAATTCGAATTTAGACATGAGAAGTTGGATGGATTCTACAATATATTACATTTATACCACCCCACTTCTTATGTATTTACATTTCCAACACCTAAATTTAAATTTTGCAATAAAACTTTAAAAGTTTTCTTATCACATCAAGTACATCTTTTTATGCATAGGAAATATAGCATGAAGGTAAAAAATCAAACTCTAGGCATTAGACATATAAATATATAGGGACTGTACCGTGGCATGTGTGAAAATCTTCCCATAAAAAATATCAAAATTTTTGTAGTAAACATATCAATAAATAAGAATTATATATAATATTTGTAAGTTTTATCTCTTTTTTCTAATAATTAATTCGAACATATTTGACATGCATTTTTTAATTTATAAGAGCGAATATTGCATGCATCTCTTGCACGTACAGACTGTAATATTTATAAGACCGCCACAATATCACCATAATAATATCCAAACTAATAATCTAGTATTACTTTTTGTTTTTTTTGAAAAACAGAGTGTCAAACTTCTGCGAAAAATGCAAATAAGAATGCATCGATGTGCGCGCACCTCAGCCCAAAGAACATTAGCCTCCGTATGCGCTTTTAGGAAGTAATCGGTCCCCCATTTGATGGCCTCCAACACATACCTCTCCTCGCCGGCGGCGACTATTTCCTCGCCGTACTCCGCCGCGCTCCACGACAGCATGGTCACCGTAAACGCCATAGGAAGACCGAACTTAACATGATCCCCTGCATCGTAGTACCCTCCGATCAGATCCACCTGCAAATTCACCGCAAAACTTCACATTATCGATTCTCACGGCGAACAATCAATGAATCAGAGAGGAGGAGCAGAGGAAAACAGACGCCTTGCTGCAAGCCGTCGGAGAGGCCGGAGTGGTGGCGCCAGGCGGAGCGTTGGGTGTGGGGGAGATGGCCGGAGCGCTGCGATTCGAAGTAAAGGAGGGATTTTGAAAGGGCTGATTTGTAGTTGAAGGGCGCGGAGGTGGTGGGAGTGGGGAGGCGGAGGAGGAGGAGGAGGAGGATGAGGAGGGTTGGGAAGGGAACAATGGAGGTGGGGAGGAGGGGGCGGGGATTTTAACAAATAGGGAAACAGGCCATGTGACTGTCTGGTGCTTAGAAAGCACAATGTGCGGGAAATTTGGAGGAAGGGGTCAAAATGAAGGGGAGGAAGGGGAGGAGAGATACATTTTTCAAATCTACTCTCCGTTATTTTAAAATATATTAGGGGTATAAATTGGATGCATTTTAATTTTGTGTAAAATAATGTTATATATTAACTCTGTATATAATATTTTCTTGCAATTTATTAATCTTATTTTTAAAATTTCTTGACATTTTCCTAAAAAAATAAAGGATTGTTCAGGAGATTTAATTTTTATGTATCCATATGCCTACTATTTAAACTTATATCTATATGTGCGTGCGCGTCACCTTATTTATGCATGTAAATATGCATTTTATTTTTTAAAATTAAAATAGAGATATTTTTAGATTAAATGAAAATAGAGATATTTTTAGATTAAATGATGAAAAAAAAAAACTAAAATTCAAGTATTAGATATGTAAATACATTAATCATTGGATGGTATGTATGTAAATGCTTCTTTATGTGGTCTAATTATTGTGTGCGGAGGGCATACGCAGAGTTGTGTGCGCTCTCCGATCATAGTCGTGCGCATCGCGGCCGTATGACAGTGGGTCTCATTGTCATACAGTCGCGATGCGCACGGCTGTGATCGGAGAGCGCACACAACAATCGCTCCTTTATGTGAGGTGGACTGAGTGGTGTTAAAAGAGTAGAGAGGTCAAACTGCCCGGGCCCTAAATTGAGTTCTATTTTTCCAAATTAGTCAAATTTAAGTAAATATATTTGACCAAAGCCATATTTATAATATAATTTTGTCTTAAAAAAATGCAAAAAAATTATATTTAGTTTGTTTGAGCCTCGGCGGAATTGCGGAAAGAATGAGGAATAGGAAAGAGAGGGAAATTAAATTATTGTTTTAATTATTTGACTTTTTTTAATCTTAATATTAGCGGTATCAAGGCCCGAAACTGCATGACATTTTCATTGTTGAAATTAAAAAAATAATAATTAAAAAATAATAGCAGTTAAATAGGATGTACGGGCCGGGTTCAGGTTTGATCGGAAATTGACCCAATTAACAATGGACCAATAACCTGACTTAAATATTTGAAGGGATCGAAAAACTTAAATCCATCTTCAACATGATTGATCGAAAGCAATTCCGATTGAATATAACATAGTAGTTATTTTGGATCCAATTTGTGTCAATGTGGACTCAAGTTGAAGTCAATTTTTCGAGTTGGTCAATCATATTCGAATAAATTTGAGGTGGAGAGTCAATTTGTATATGAGCCTAAAGAATTAAATGTGTTGTGATTTTAAATCCGTTCTCAACCAAAAAATTAATCTGATCAACCCAACACGAGCTTTCGAGTAAAGTTGATGTGTCAGGTCAATTATTGACATAGTTAAATTATGTTCCAATTTTATAGTTAAAGGGTGCATTGAATATTATTGAAACTGAGATTGTTTGTGAATCACACCCAAAAAAATAGAACATAAGTTTGTGTGTGTGTGCCTGTGTGTGTGAGAGAGAGAGATGAACATTAATCGATGTTGTTCAATAGTATTGATTCTTCATTAAATCTTTCCCTTAATTATAGGGGAGGTAGTATAATAGTGACATTAGATTTTTAACTTCATTTGAAGAGGATCTATATTGGCTTATCGTCATGTTGTCTTCTGGCTCAACTGACTCAACTTAGCTGACTCGAATCGATGGGGTCAGCTAAGTCAATTAAGCTTAATTAGTAGGGTCCAGTTGATAGAACTAACCTGGTTGGCTATCTTTGGTCCCTAGTGACGAGTCTGTGGGTCACAGCGGGATGTTTAGATATACTTTGTGGAAATGGCTTTTCCATTTGGTCGACTATATTGCAAGATATGTTTTTGATGGTCTGTCAGATCACATGCTCATCTTCTGGACGAAATTGAAAGTTTCTTTGTCCGGGTGGTAAGGATTCAACAAGGTGAGGAGATGTGAGGCATGTTGGCACATATGAAGAAGATAGAAGAGATGTTGATGACACTTCAACAAACTCCACTGTAGTTGTCCCGACCTTTGTTATGTGCTATGGGTAGGAAGGGATCTCATGGACCATGGATTCGTTCAAATACTTGTTCTCATTCTAGGTTGGACTAAATGAATTTGTCTTGTTCTTCCTGATCAACAAATTACAACTGTTGTGATTGAAGAATAAGATAAGGTACTTGAAGCATCAATTATGCTTTGCTTCCTCCCCACGGGGTTGTTCATCCACATAATCCCATCTAGGGACCTTTTAAATGTGAAGAGGAAGGGAATTAGTGAGGGTATTGCTCGACGCCAGCAAGATTGAAAGAAACAAGCTTTCGGTTCACCATTACATATAGTTGGTACTTGTCAACAAGGTGCTACAGCCTAACATCTTTGGGTCAATGATCGAGGATGAGTGAAAAGCCTTCGACATAGAAAGAATAGAACTTCATCGCTCCAATGAAAATCTAATGTGCCAACAAAACCAACTCAGGGAGTTATGACAGTACTTGTAAGTGTCGCTATCTGGGCATTTGAAGTCAGATCGGATTTTGCCTCCACCATTTTCTTTGAAGTGCTTCAAGTGACAATGAGGGAAGAAGACATACCATAGAGAGCTGGAGTATAATTATCACAACCGTAAATTACTCTTCACGAGGTATACTTGAAAGAGGGTGAGAGTTTGCTAGTGTTCTTTTGAGAGAAAACCAATGTGTGCATAATGGCATGCACTCAAAGTGGGTGGTGCTTTCTTGGTTCTATTTAAAGACTCGGAGTTGCCAACTAGTCTATTTATATGTCATCATATAGTTTTTTTATTCGAACAAATATCCCTCCCAAATTATATCAATGATTCAAATAATAGATGAATCGAAAGGAAGAATATTTGACAGCAAATAGATAAAAAAATAAGAAGAAATAAGTTAAAGACTTATCTATAAGACCCTCATGTGATGGGTCGACAATATATGTTCGAACATGATCAAATCGAAGTGCCTAGAAACAAAACATCTAAGAAGAGAATCTCTTAAAAAGTCACTCGTAACCAGAGAATAAAAGATCATTTTTTATGGGGTCAAGAGTCTCCCAGAGGGACGTATTCATCTGGTTTATTAAAACTTGGTGAATACCTAAGAATATTCTCAATAACAAGAGTTTCACTTGTATCATCATAAACTTGGAGAATAAGTCATCAAATGGTGACTATTCCATATGGGAATAACTCGATGCTTCAAAGTTTTCACTAAGCCGCATGATAGAGAGTTAATCTCTCACATCCAAAATGGATAGCGGCTCGTCGACATCAAAATCTATGAAATAACCAAATCATCTCGACAGGGTTATCCCTATACGTCAGAGCTCACCGGGGCATAGGGCAGAGGGTGAATCCCCGTATTCTAAACGAGCAACAACTCATCAGTAATTGGGTCATCAAGGTGATTTCAACGAGTCAAAGGAGCAATATGGCTCAAAGGGGCTCAACAAGAGGAGTGTAAAGTAATCCTAAAAAGAAGAGATAGCTGGGTTGGAGTATCATGAACTCGTCATCCCAAACTACTAGGACCCTGTGTCAACATGTCCGTGAAGGTACTCGATTCAAAAAATTTAACAGGCACGTCATTTTTCCAGCATGTATGTCATCGTTATTATTGACGTATGAACTGTCAGTTATACGAACTGATGATTACTAACGACTCAAATTTTCTGAAAAAAAAACTACGACATTAAGTTGTCGAATAACCGTCATTATCACGATATCAGTCGGTTTTGGAATTACCGATAACGGTTTTACTTACTAGCATAAAACCGCCGTTAACATTAAAAATGACGATTTTTCTCACCAAACAATAGATTTTGGCCGTAAAAAAAAAAAAACATAAAATTCTTATAGTGGTGCTTCAATGCATTTCTATCGTATTAAGTTTTTGACACCGTTGATAAGAAACAACATTAAATTGCTAATTTTACGAAAATCTTAATTGAACCATTAGAGTTTAGATTTGAAAGTTATTATGATTTATGACGTACTTCTTCTGTAAGTTGCGTGAAAACTTTTGTGTTAGAAAATCCAAGAAAATATTTTTTTTTCTTGTGTTCATTTTCTGTATCATCTCCTACTTTACTTCATTTTCTGTGAATATTGCTCGTGTATTTCGTTTTTCAGCTAATTTAGGGTCTCACACTTGCTCGTTCTAAACTTGTATGCATAGGACTGGACTAGCAACTTGTTTCTTACATCCTTTAATTAGAGAGAACCATTAAAAAAACTCAGAATAGTTATAAAACTCAACAAGTATTTAGGAGAGATGACAAATCCTCACGAAGAGAATATCATGCCACCACTTAGAGAGTTTCATTATTCGTATCTAGATTATTATTTTCATCTTGTAAACCTCTTGATAGCTTTGTAAAAATCTAAATTTTAATAAAATAAATTCTGAATAACTAATTTAAATTATTATTTCATCAAATACACCAATAAATAATTCAGATTATTTTAATTAATAATATAATATAATAGACAACCCCAGTAATTTCTATCCATTTTTAAATGCACTTATAGCATTTTTTTTTTAATTAAAAAATATATAATTGCTACATAATTACACGTATTTTATGGCTCAAGGGCAATTGAGATATTTGGTTTTAGGGTTTAGGGTCATTAGTGAGGGTGTGGTTTAGATAATTAAATACTGTATTTTTAATGCATTTTCTTAATTAATTAAATATTTATCGCTTATTTTATGTGCATAATTATTCATCATTAATTATCTGTTTACAGACAAAAATGACGTCATGCTAAGAATGAAAGTATGGGGCCTAGAAAGGCGATTTTTTCTTAGATATATATATCCGATCATTAGAAAATATTATTGTTCGTGTTTGATTCGCTTATATTTTGAACAAAAAAAAAAAATTGTTCGAGTTTGACTCATTTGCTTAA